CGTGTGGAAGTAACTCGTGTACGCAAACGTGTCCGAGATCTAGGCGACTGTGTGGCGAGCAGGCAACGGGAAGAGACAACCTGTATATCATGGCTGGGAACAAGTGGGCGAGATAGATGCGCGCAATCTCTCCTGGTCTCATACTCCGCGTGCCGGCGTGCGCACGTATGACCGACCGAACGAGCCCCGGGCTCGTGTAATAATGCGCCTCTTAGGCGACCGGCCGGTTGTCAGCGCAGGATAGACAACGCCTGATATTGTCAACACTGGGATGCCCGGCGGGCGGTACGTTTCCCTCCGTGTCCCTCTGAATGACCATTGACATACGTCGCTGCTCCCTGTCGTCGATCGGCTGGACCGATCTTACGACTACCGAGTCTAGAGTTTAATTTCATTCTTCGTTTCTTACGTCCGCCGTGTTGGATAACTATTGGAACGAAGAAGTGCGAAGAATCTCGATGAGCGTGTCAGCAACGACGCTTAGGTCTAGACCTGTAGGCATCGCGGATTTTTATGTATGATTTACTAATGCGTATGATGCGCTTCTTATGAGCTAGAGAGAGGCGAGAGAGTAAAAATGTGTATAGAGAAGACTAGGGTATAGGTCTGTATAGTTTGAGACATTGTTGCTAGTAACCCTTTGCAGTCCGAAGTTTTTCACTAGAAATATTTCAACATCTTCTGATGAAATGAAGACGATATTTTGTGAAACCAACTGGCGGACAAAGATATTTCACGTCAATATTTCTCAGATTAATGCATTATATGAAGTATAATATTAAATATCAAACTTTATAGCTTCACAGTAGGAAATCAAGTGGTGAGAGTCACCTCCCGAGTGCAAAGGGTTAACCTTTGACGAATGTCGACATTTCGAGACGAAACGTTTTTGGAAGACTAAGTCGCAGGCAAATGATTTAATTACAGCAAGAAATTAGCGTGTAGCTTCTGTTTCTGCTATTACTTAACACTTAGGCGACCGCCTAAAAAGAACTATAACTACAATATCCTCCATTATCTTCAATTATACTCATTCAATTAATTCAGTTAAAAACTATGTTTTGTAAAAACAAGAACTGTATTTCATGAATTGCAAATAATTCCCCTTCAAGGCTTACTAAATAACAAAAGAAAAGATAAACAGAATGAAAGGCAGTACGTTGCTAAGTGAAAAGTGGGAGATCTCATTCGGTCGGCTAAGTGTTAAGCGATTCATATGTAATTTAGCTTCATCTGTTGGTTTTGTACATTCCAAAGAATCTGCGTTAAGGGTTAAGAGATAAATGGGAAGGATATCGAAGAATCATGGGTTTGAACCCACTGATTGCTTCTAGGGCGAAGAATATACTTCTTCAGGCTGCCGTTCCTTGAACTTTCTCAAAATTTCAGGGCTCGGCAGCGTCGCCCATGTCCGGGCCAGGCCCATAAAAATCCAGACGGAACGAGAGAGCCGGTCGCTCGATTTTTGGGCGTGTGCACGCAGGACAGGCGTACACACGTGACACGCAAGCAAGCAACGATGCATAGTCGTCGTCTCTCTCACCCTCCCTCGCGGCCATTCCGTCCGCGACGGGACGCACACGAGTCCGAGGAAAACACAGACCTCTCTCGACCGTCTCTCTAAGCTGCATCCGGCAGAGCGAGTGTTTTTTGCGCGTCGTATCGCATCCTTAAGTTCGCCACTTGTCCCGCGGAGCTGCCGGCCGAGGAGCGTCTCTTCGTGACTATCGTGCGCGAGCACGAGCATGCAAATGAAAATCGGAAATTTTCACGAGAGTCACGAGCAACGCGGCGACGAGCCTCTCGTGAATCGGTTGCGGCGACTTCTCGTTCGCGAACGGCAGTACTTGCGACGCGAAAAATTCTATGGAGGAAACTTCGGGGATTTAGATATGGAAAATTCTTTTGATCGAACGCTATGGAAGCAGCTGCATCGACCCTTGACCCTGTGTGATCCTGTGTCGAGAAAAATGTTCTCGAATCAATTATTAATCCTTAGCACTCCACGTTGTTTAGTAATCTATCAGTAACTGCTACTAATTTTTATAGTATTCCTAGCGAAAATGAGAAATGATATAACATTTCGTCCATCTTTTATTTTCCTTCTTAGTACAAAATTTGGATGCGCGGAAAATCTAGTAATTTTAGGATAGTTTGTTCAAGATTCATTAAAATATTTAATATTATAACTGGTGCAATATTGGAGCCTACGGAGTTCAAAGGGTTAACCCTTTGCGGCCGAATGTCGACACTTTGTCGAGGTCTAACGTTCATGTTTGTAATATTAAGTCGCAAAGAAATGATTCAACTGCTGGACAGTAAGAAACCAGTACATAATTTCCTTATTCTTTATTACTTAGGCATTCGATGTGTGATTTGGCAGAATCTACAAAAGATTTTACTTAAGATACTTTAGAGAATCTTCGCAAAGGGTTAACCCTTTGCAGTCCTATGTCGAGTCAGACTCGACATTTTATTTTATTGCAACCTCTACCTTGTAACAATTTTTTCTACATTAGTAGTATCACAATTGTACCATTTAAAGGTAACATTTCCATGGCTCCCAAATATTCTTAAATAAATAAATAGACCGTCCTATTAACACTTAGGCGACCGCCTAGAAAGAACTATAACTACAACCTTCTCCATTATCTTCAATTATACTCATTCAATTAATTTAGTTAAAAACTATGTTTTGTAAAAACAAGAACCGTACTTGATGAATTGCAAATAATCCCACGTCAAGACTTACGAAAGAACAAAAGAAAAAATAAACAGAATAAAAGGCAATACGTTGCTAAATGAAAAGTGGGAGATCTACCTATTCGGTTGGCAAAGTGTTAAGCTGTAATTGAATGAATTAACGTCGACGTGAACTTCAAAGTGAGAAACCAAGAGCACTTCGGATCGCAAAGGGTTAAAGTTTGCGACTCTGTTCAATATTACCTACGAATGATTATACAAATGTGTAACCACATCTCATATGAATCTCTAATATAACGGAAAGAGATGTACACTATAAAAATTGATCGGACTATCGCCTGTCGAGTTTTTCGGTACGCTTGCGGAAAATAGCTCGCAATAATTTCAAATAAATTGCGTTTATCGGGGATAGAAGATAGCGCGACGACCCAGCGAAAGAAGCACGAGATAATTATCGAGCTTATCTGCTCGGCGTAAAAACTCGTAAATTTTCTGATCGGGTGCAACGCGTTGAAAAATGACGATATATAGATCCGAGATAAGGGAGGCCGCCTGGACGTAACGTCACTTTCACGTGTGTACACAACGCGTTCACATAGAGACACACCGCCGGCTGAACCGGCGGACAAATCGAATCGTAAGAAGTTCACGTTTTCTCTTCCACGTGAAATTCTGTGAAATATAGTACTGTTACTCGCCTAGTGTATCTCGCTTATCTTCGTTACTTCGCCTCGCATGTTGAACTTAAACCGTCTCGTTTCTTCTGTACCTTTATTTTAAGCGTCGCTACGCTTCGCGCGGATTCGTGGAAACTAGAGGAGCATCAGCGAGGCGTACGGAGTATCTCGCGGAAGATACGACGATAACGAGAATAAAAATCGAATTTTAAATCCTCCGAGAGGATCGTGGACGTACACGTGCAACGGAGAACCACTGTTCAATCTATCAGATTAACGTTTGCGCGACTACTCGATCTAGTGACAACATCGATGTCAGCAAATATGCCTGATAACCTGTCGCACGGATTTATACAATTCCGCGAATTAATATTGTGCGACGGATTAACGTCAATAAGAGAGATAGACGAAATTAATCATCGTTTGCCTTAGACTCACCTATTGTAGACGAGACCGTTTGCAACGCGAATAGAGCACTTGTTACTCGGCTAGTAAAAATGTGCACCACTCTGTGCCGTAAGAGGAGATAACGATAAGCGCATTCGATATTTATTTTAGTAACATTTAGTTGCTATTTAAGCGAAAACTTCGGTATTGCTTTCGGCAGAATATTTGTTAATTTATCGTGATAAATTGCGACTATTCGTTATTGTTGCTAAGATGTATCCTTATTAATGAGAGTTATTAGTAGGAGAATTTAATCGTGCATCGGAAGAATTATTTATTTAACATGGATTATTCTACTTATTTATCGCTCCGAGTGCAATACGCATTTATTTACTTATGCCACGTGCTTACCCTCAAGTTAACCTCGTTTTAAATTGGGTAAATTATCCACTCGAGGTAAGACGCGCGAATGCATTAGACGCAATCAACGTGCGGTCATCGTTAACAAAGCTTTGGGATTGGTGCTACAGATAAGGAACTTTAGGGGAGAATCTATGCACATCGTAAACTTCGTCATTAATATACGTGTTACACATCAAAGCAGTACAATTTCCTCCTATTTTCTGTAACACCAATTATATCCAAGAATACTTTACACAATCTCGATGTGCAGCTCACAAGCAATTCCAAAACTGAATAAAAAAAATTCGGATCTAAGGATACAAGATAAACGAGTCGTGAAAACCAACCGCGCAACCGCAGTTCAGTCTCCTTCGAATTGCGCGACCTCCGTCCCTAAACCTACGCCTCATTTGCATCTCCTACCAGTTATTAACATATAACCTATGCACGTATTCGCGATAACAACTTTCCGAGCCACGCAAAGGCAGTGGTGGTCAAAGGAATCCGCGAAACGCGTACACACACAGCGGCAATTAAACATCCTCCTGACCACCACTGCTGCATCTCGGAAGCCTGAAAACTGCGGCCGATCTAGAGCCCTAAGAAATAATACCAACGTCTCGCGACGCGAAGCATAACAATTCCCAAGGTTCCAGGGACACCGTAGAAAACACGTCTGGTCTGTGTCTATCGAGCACCGTCTCGTTCCGACCCACTGTACCATCCTCCGATACCCACCGAACAAATTCCCGCGTGCCCTTGCAGCCTGACGCGGACACAGGAAAAAATACAAGATCACCATCCAAGATGAATTCGGAAAAAGCGACTCACCGAAAAACTTCTCCCAGCTATCGGATTCATCGGAATCCACGTTGGTACCCGTGGTCTCCACGTCCGCCTCGCTGCCCATCTCGTCGCATCAAACACTCGCGGTGAGGCACCCGAGGATACCAGGGGAATTCCTTTTTCCTCACTCGGAAGAATAGGCGCACACGACGACGTCTCACGGGGGGCTAAGGTGTCGGTCACATCGCGCGGCGAACGGCGAGGCGATTCCCTCCCGATCCAGCAGCCGTGAGGGGATGCCGAGCCGATCTCGGTCGAGGATCACGGGAGGAAGAGCCGAAACACGACGTCCATCCCCTTGGCGCGCGGTCGCGAGACGGACTGAGAGAGCCGGGAGCCCTCGACCCGACCGACCGTGCCGGCGAGTCAACGAATCGGCAAACAGCTCAGCCAACCCATACCAACACGCCGCTCGCTCGCTCTCCTGTTCCACGCGTTCTTCTGGCCTGGGCTGCCTCCTCAATGCGCCGACTGTCCTCGCCTTCCTCTCCGTGCCGCCGCGCCGCGCCGCGCCGCGCGACCGTTCATGTAAATCGCCCAGCGCGAGCGCGCGCGTTCGGGTCGCCCCGCAACACACGGTCATCGGAGCTGGATAAAGTTTACGGGGAAAAAATTGTTCCGAACGCTGCTCGAGAAACATTAGAGGCCACGGTGGTTTCGATTCAATGGCTCGCCTAATGGGACATGGAATCTGATTGAGTAACGTGGCTCGCGGGTTAGGGTATTGTTTGCTGGTCTATTTTGTTGGATGACGTTACGGGAGTTCGAGGAGTTAATGAGTTTTGTTATGGGGCCGAAGTTATAGTGGTTAGACGAGCGAGTCTGGTGGAGATTGAAACGTCGTTTTGCTGGTTGATGATTGTTGGAGATGAGTGATTTCAGCGAAGGAGATGGCAGAGCTGGAGAGGTTTCTTTGATTTTGCTGAGTTTGAGAATAATTTCGGAGAAATGGGAAACGTTGGTTTGCTGGTTGATGATTGTTGGAGATGAGTGATTTGAGTGGAGAAGGCAGACCTGGAGAGGTTTCTTTGA